AGTCCAATAATGATACAGTAACTGTACTGTTACAGTACATTAGGACAATAAAGAATAATGATACAGTAACTGTACTGTTACAGTACATTAGGACAATAAAGAATAATGATACAGTAACTGTACTGTTACAGTACATTAGGACAATAGAGAATAATGATACAGTAACTGTACTGTTACAGTACATTAGGACAATAGAGAATAATGATACAGTAACTGTACTGTTACAGTACATTAGGAAGGAGTGAGTGGAGCATTAAGTAATTAATGATCCCCAGGGAAGGAATGGACATGTACAGTGACAGCAAAAATATCAATATCAATAATGATAATAATAATAATGATAATAATAATAATGATAATAATAATTTTAATGGTGATAATATCTGGCACCTCAAGACATCAAAAGGACAACAGTGTACACAGGAAGAAAGAGAAATAAAATATTAAATAACTAACCTTTAGTCTGTTTTGCTTTTGCTTAATGCAAGCTTCCATGGCAAAGTGAAAGGCAGCTAACGACTGGGCCTCTTCTGATGAACATGTCAGGAGTGGTGTCACCCTCTCTAACCAACTGGCTGTACGGCCATGAGCGTGATTAGGACACGTTTTAGGGAACTCTAGAGGATCCTGTAACCTCAGGAACGGAATGACCAGCTCCAGAGTACCACTCCTCTTCACCAGAGGGAGGAGTTCTTGATCAGCTGCCAGGAGACAGATAGCAATGAGAGCGTAATACTTGACAGCAGAGTCCCGAGAAAAGGCTAGGGGGAACAGCCAGTGATCAGCTGACTTTGATAACATTTCACGATGAACTTTAGGAGAGCCATAAAGAGCACAGTTGGCTAGTGCAGCAGCACAATGTTGAATGACTGAACTGTCATTCTCTCTACAACAAAGCATCACAGTTTGAAGGCCACCAGATTCTATTAGCTGTAAAGACACAGGAGGAGATACTTTAAACAGGTTCTCATAAATACCCGTTCCACAACGCATACGCTCCAGAGACGTGGAGAGAGAAGCAAAACTGACTAGCGAAGGAAAGAGATGATGATTAGCAATGTACTGGCGGTTCTCAGCTACCATTATCTGCTCTATGGCAGTTAATGATTTTAATCTCAAGTCTTCATCTTCTTTGCTTTCCTTCTCATCCGAAGAGACAGCAAGAGAGAGCATACGCTCTAAAGTGTTTGAAGTTCTTGTTAAATCACAAATGAGGTCAGCAGCATCCCGAGCTAGCCTAGTGTCCTCCAGTGACCAGGAGAGAGTGATGAGGTCGTGAAGGTTGCCTAAACCTTCCTTCTGCTTAGAAACAACCTCTGATTTTATTAACCTAAAGCATATCTCAGCCTCTCTCTTCAGGGCCCGACTGTCAACCTCTCCACCTTTGAGCCACGAGGGATAGCAACAATCACTCTTCCTCTTATCTGTCGCCATTTTGATTTGTAATGCAAGACGGAAAGTATACGGAACAATAAACGGAATTGTCAAAAATTTAAGGGGCAAGCCACGGGGGTACTGTTTCCATAGCAACACAAACACTAGTACGAAAGTACTGCAGAATAATAATGGCTGTTAGCATCGACCAGAGGAGAGAGAAGAGAGGGAGAGAGACAATAATGAAGGTCAATCTGCACGAGTTAGCCCTGGAGCTGTTGGCCAGGGACTGGCTCAAACCAGAGTCTGATCCTGCCCTGTTGCTCTACCTAACAGACAAAGTCTTACCAGTCCTGGTCCTGAGCATAGAGCAACTACTGGTGACAGTGAGCAGGAGGGGACTAGAGGAAGAGGAAGGATACAGGGAGGACTTCAATCCAGTCAACTTCCTTGCAGAATATTTGATGAGACACAACCCTAGGTACCCTCAGGTCCATAGAGGTCCTTCAGGTTCAAGATACTACACTGGGCTGAAGGAGGTTTGAGGGGAAGAGAGGGAGGGAGAGACTAATGGTTGTATTATTAGGTAACAGCAGAGCTGAGGAGAATAGTGATAAGACAAGAGAAAGGATTAGTTGAGAGAGTGAAGAGAGACCTGAAGGAAAAGAGAGAGAATGAGGAGGAGGAGATGAGAAGAAGATTGCTGGAAGAAGAGAGAAGGAGAGATGTCATAAGAGGAGTTTATCAAATATGGCAGAATGGAGGGATCCTGTTAGCACACCAGGTACAGTTCAGAGAACAGATGATGGAGTAATTACTCATCAATGATCATAGATACTTCAGGTCACAAAGGATTGGGTTGATGGAGGGAATGCCAATAGTTATAAAGGTACAGTGCCCTAGGGACACACTTTGAGGTGAATATAAATGTATATTCCACAGATACTTTCGACAGTTTAATTAATGACGACAGCATCACTTTAGAAACAACATGGACAATAGACAAACTGATATCAGTAATAATAATAATAATAATAATAATACTGAATAATAATACTAACACTGCATACTGAATCTATAATGTTGTACATTAGATGTTGCAGCCAGTGTCTCTGATATTAGCTAGTGATGATTTCAATAGCTATACTGACCACCTTTTTATCTGTGGTAAGGAAAAGAGACAAGTTGAAGCTAAGAATAGAAGAAAGTAAATCTATTAATAATCAATAAATAAATAAATTGATTGATTAATCATAGGAAAATGCTAAAAGATGCATTCCATCATTGCGATGAAGACAAAGTAATTAATAATAATAATAATAATAATAACAGTAATAATAAACTCCTGTGCACAGTTAGGTGTCATTGACAGAAGGCAGTTGATGATATTGTTTAATATTTATTATGAGCATGCCACTGATGTACACCGTGAAACACTCACTGACCCAAAGACATGTAAGCATGCACTACTAGTGTTGACTTTAGGGACTGACCATGTGTACATGTGCCTAGGGCCAGCCTTAGAGGAGGAGACTGATTCTGAACCAGTGGAGGAATGGGAGAGAGAAGGGAGCACTGTATCTGATGAAGACTATCAACAATTCATGACCTCACCTCTACACACTAACACAACAGAATCAGAATCGGATCATGCTGACACTGATTTCAATACCCCAAAGTCTCATACTCATTCTGCAAAGTCTGAGACTCAAACCAGTTCGATACAGAAACCGGTTGTACTGCCTAGTGGACCAGGAGAGCAATGGAGTCCACAACATGTAGACATGTCACAATTTTTGCAACTTTGTGATCTGCTGCTGGGAGACAGTGAACACACAGAAATGTAAGGAACTCTATACTAGTATAAGTACTGTACTCACCATCTGATCTACAGTACATGCACATTATGAATAATTACCATGTACTATAGTACATAGTCATTATTCATGTAATTGCTAGGAGAGAATTCTCAACTTTTATTACATTTTGTAAATTAAAATTTGCTTGTTTCCATAGAGATGGAGTTGAGACATTGTCAGCATTTTTAAGAAAGAACTTCCATGGTGATGATTATGAGCTTTCTAAAGGATCAGAACCAGTAAACAACAACAGATAAACAAATAAACAAACAATTATATTAATTTATAATCCTACAGGTACAACAAGCGATGCTATTGCTAAGAAGGGCACAGAAGTTAAGTGGTCTATTCTCACTGTGGGACACTAACTGCTCTGGATACCTTCACATAGAAGAACTGATGGCAGTCCTGGGCCACTGGAATGAGTTTGGAAGTGATGAGTGCAGGAAACAAAGTAAACCGTTTTATATGTACACAATGTAAACCACATTATACATTAATAAAGATACATTATACATCAATAAGTAATACATAATGCATCAATAATGATACATAATGCATCAATAATGATACATAATGCATTAATAATGATACATAATGCATTAATAATGATACATAATGCATTAATAATGATACATAATGCATTAATAATGATACATAATGCATTAATAATGATACATAATGCATTAATAATGATACATAATGCATTAATAATGATACATAATGCATTAATAATGATCATTATACATCAATAAGTAATACATAATGCATTAATAATGATCATTATACATTAATAATGATACATAATGCATTAATAATGATACATAATGCATTAATAATGATACATAATGCATTAATAATGATACATTATGCATTAATAATGATACATAATGCATTAATAATGATACATTATACATTAATAATGATACATTATACATTAATAATGATACATAATAATATTAATTGCTGCATAATGTGTTCTTTCATGTACTCTGTTGCAGTGGAGGCCAGTCTTGAGACATTGGGTATGATTGGTAATCAAGTCAATAAAAGTCAATTTATCAGTTTATTGGAAATGTTCACTGGTGATATGAACCATAATGAACTGAAGGACTTCTTGGAATTGATGCAATCATCAATTAAAGTAATCAATAATAATAATAATAATAATAATAATAATAATAATAATAATAATAATAATAATAATAATAATAATGCAAATGTTGGTGATGGTGTCCACTAGTTGACTCAAGAGCAAAAGGCTAGGAATGAGTATAGACTGACATTATTGAATAACATCAGGAAAGCTGGTCACACTAACATTAATGAAGCACTCAATGAAGCTGTTAGGAGCATTCAACAAGTTAGCATTAGCAATAGACCACTCTGTGTACTGTATCTATACTGTCAGTACTGAATACTGTGTACTGACTGTGCACTAAATACTGTGTACATGTAGGATTCAAGACACCATGGAGGTGGGAGGAAGGCCAGTGTGTGCATTGGACTGTTGGAGAAGCCATTAAATTCAGAGACTGTACTGCACTATAAAGCAGCCTCTGATGATGGAGCATATCATGTACTAGGAAAGAAACTAACACAGAAAGAAGCACCAGTAAGTATAAGCAACAATAAACAACAATAAACAACAATAAACAACAATAAACATTAATAGGTCAGTTACAGTGTTGTTGCTAACAAGAGGCCAGTGTGTGTTCCTAATGTTCATAAACATGGACACGTTTACTTCTTCATTCCAGAACACTCCAACGAACAAGAGGTAATTAATAATAATAATAATAATAACAATTGATATAATCATTAGTATCAAGGATCATTGGTAGTGTCTCCAATCATTTCAATAGTCAACAATAAGGTGGTTGGCACCATTAGTGTAGACTGTGTGTTATTGAGCAACAAGCAAAAGCAGGCATTTGAAGACCATGAGATATCATTCTATCAGGTAACACTACAACCAGTACATGTACCTGTACATGTATATAATGTACCGTACCTGTACAGGGTGTGGGGGTGTGTCTTGGTGAAGTGTATCAAGCTGCTGAGGCTCGTAAGAGACTAGTGGGTGCAGCTGAAGCAGGGATCACATGGTTACTGAGGAGGTGTCCTATCATTGAAAAAATTGATTTTTATTTGACCTGCCCTGAAGAAAATGAAGTAAATATTATTACTTTAATTATTTATTATCATTAGCATTGTTATTATTATTATTATTACTGCCATAGGATGATCAGTATAGTTTACAACTGGCACTACATTCTGATCAAAGTTTAGGTGGAAAAATTGAACAAAATGATGAAATATTGAAAAGAAAAGAGAATTTCTTCAAGTAAAACCTAACCAGTGCATGCAGTATTATGCCAGTAGCTACAGTATACATACAATAGTACAATACATTAGGAGATCACTAGCTGTTGTTACATTAGGGAGTATAGTCATTATATACTGTCACTACATTATGGAGTGTAGTCATTATATACTGTCATTACACTATAGGGAGTATTTGTTCCATTGTGTTGATACGAGTGAGAGTGTGTCTACTGAGGTCTATTGCTCCCCTCACTTGTGCTGTCCATTGAGAAATGAGAGTGGCTGTGCTGTAGCAGTCCTTGACCTAACGCTCACTAAAAGAGCCAGTCACATTGACTCTCAGTATAACAGAGATATCAACAAGATGATCAAACTATTGACTTCAGCTTTCCAACAGGCAGCAACCAATGAAAGTACAGGGACACATGAGTCTACTGGTATAATAATGTAATTAAATTAGGCGAGGGGCAGGAGTCAGTAGATGTTCTATTTCATAAACTGTTGTTATCAGATTTACAAAAGTGCATGGATAAACTGGACAAAAGGTAACCTAATTAATTACTCATTACTGTTAATTAATTAGTTAATTAATAGGGCATTTGCTGAAATACGTAGTTATGTTGAGCCGCCCCCAACAATACACAAGATAATAAAAACAATAATGATGATCCTTTATCCTAACACGGTCTGTGACACATGGAACCAATGCAGGCCTGTGAGTTATTAATAGTAGTTATTAATAGTAGTTATTAATAGTAGTTATTAATAGTAGTCATTAATAGTAGTTATTAATAGTAGTTATTAATAGTAGTTATTAATAGTAGTTATTTCTTTAGTACGTTAGTATTGACATGTTAAAATCAATGAGCCACTTTACTCCATCAATTGAAGGAACAGCTACACCACAACTACCAGCAATACTCAATATACTCCAAGGTACAGTTATCAGTAATGACATACAGAATCCTCTCCTTTTCAATTTTGGCAAAATTTGGCACGAGACCATGTAATACATTTTGTTTGGGGGTTAATCCTGCTTAGTAACGCTACCATGTTACTAATTATACTACAATATGTAATAAAATTTTTTGTTGATTTCAGAGCCATTTTTTGGAAAAAACCATGGACTATAGCCTTGGGTATTTTTCAGATTTTTGACGTTTTTTAAAAGTGGCCGTAACTTGAAAAATTGAAGTCGGAATCACCTCAAACTTTCTACACAGCATAAAGGCATCAATATGTATCAGAAAATGCAATAAAAATTTGAGTTGATTTCGGAGCCATTTTTTGGAAAATACCATGGACTATAGCCTTGGGTATTTTTCAGATTTTTGACGTTTTTTAAAAGTGGCCGTAACTTGAAAAATTGAAGTCGGAATCACCTCAAACTTTCTACACAGCATAAAGGCATCAATATGTATCAGAAAATGCAATAAAAATTTGGGGTGATTTCGGAGCCATTTTTTGGAAAAAACCATGGACTATAGCCTTGGGTATTTTTCAGATTTTTGACGTTTTTTAAAAGTGGCCGTAACTTGAAAAATTGAAGTCGGAATCACCTCAAACTTTCTACACAGCATAAAGGCATCAATATGTATCAGAAAATGCAATAAAAATTTGAGTTGATTTCGGAGCCATTTTTTGGAAAATACCATGGACTATAGTCTTGGGTATTTTTCAGATTTTTGACATTTTTTAAAAATGGCCGTAACTTGAAAAATTGAAGTCGGAATCAGCTTAAACTTTCTACACAGCATAAGGGCATCGATATGTATCAGAAAATGTAATAAAAATTGGGGGTGATTTTGGAGCCATTTTTTGGAAAAAACCATGGACTATAGCCTTGGGTATTTTTCAGATTTTTGACGTTTTTTAAAAGTGGCCGTAACTTGAAAAATTGAAGTCGGAATCAGCTTAAACTTTCTACACAGCATAAGGGCACCAATATGTATCAGAAAATGCAATAAAAATTTGAGTTGATTTCAGAGCCATTTTTTGGAAAAAACCATGGACTATAGCCTTGGGTATTTTTCAGATTTTTGACGTTTTTTAAAAATGGCCGTAACTTGAAAAATTGAAGTCAGAATCACCTCAAACTTTCTACACAGCATAAGGGCATCAATATGTATTAGAAAATGCAATAAAAATTTGAGTTGATTTCGGAGCCATTTTTTGAAAAATACCATGGACTATAGCCTTGGGTATTTTCAGATTATTGGCACTTTCTTTAAAATGGCTGCAAAATCAAGCCAAATTCCCTGTACTACATGTATATAGTAAAGGGACTTTGGCTTGATCTCGGAGAAATTGTAAACATGAATTTTGTAAAACTTAATAATTATTATTTGTAATGTCTCTCTGTTAGAAGTGTCACCAAAGGAGGTCTTCCATCATGGAAGTCTACCTACAAGATACCTGTACACCTGGGTATCAGCATGTACCGCCATACTGGAACACATCCACTCTAACATCAATAACTATTAATAACTATTAATAAGTACACGGACCTTGATATAATTATAGAATAATCTCTTAAGATTTAAAAGAAACTAACATGAGAATAACATCAACAACAATAATAATAATAATAATAATAATGATAATAATAATAACACATGCTTATAATAATTAAGCGCTTGTGATAATGGCGAGACAATAAACATGAAACACTTGCAAATGAAGAAGAGAGCTACCACAAGAATAATAATAATAATAATAATAATAATAATAATAACACAACCAACCAATAATGATCAAATATGGTCAACAATACTCTTTATAATACTGATAGTCATCAATAATCAATAATAATAATAATAATAATAATAATCAATAATAATAATAATAATAATAATCAATAATAATAATCAATAATAATAATAATAATAATAATAATAATAATAATCAATAATAATAATCAATAATAATAATAATAATAATAATAATAATAATAATAATAACTCCTATAATTGAATGACAGTTAGTGGCGAGTATTGAGTGTAACCTGTGTAGTTATCATTAATTGTCAGGGGCGGGGCCTGATCCTGGGCAATAACTAGAGAAAACACAACATCAATAACTGACCATGACCACTCACAAGTGACATGAGTACATGTAACAATAATAATGAGAATGACACAGCAAAAGTTCAGTACAATAATACATGTATAAACTAGTACATGTATATGTACATATACTAGTACATGTATATGTAAACAAAATAAAGACAAACAAACAATGACAATGCACACACACACACACACACACACACACACACACACACACACACTGTCATGTACATGCCATGTACCTCAGAAATTTTTGATATTGATCAGAATTTTGATTAATTTGTAGAGATGGCAAATGAGCATTGACACTGGAGACATATGCAAATATATGAGCTGTAACAATAAATAAAATAAATAAATAAATAATAATAATGTTACTCCAACCTTTGGCAGTGTGAATACTAGTCAGTTCTTTCTCATATTTCTGGTTGAAGGTGCTGCTGGCACTAGGCTCCAGCTCACTGGAGTATTGCCTCATCCCATGGAAAGTGTAGCAACAGCTGCACAGGAAGGAATGAAACCTGACCCGTCCTTCATCAATGTAAGGATGAGACAAGGAATCATGACAGCTGATCCTCTTGTACTATTAAAAAATAAATAAAATTAATAATAATATCAGATGATCTTACAGGATTAAAGACCAGCATCCTGCTCAGTAGGTGGACCACACCGTGGGAAGCATTGGGGGAGAGCTGATACAGTACCTCTTGCATTGTGTTAGGACGAGTAACCGATAGCAACCGCTTCCTGGAGACAGGAGAAGAGATGTGACTGATATCAGGAGCCGAGGGGGTCCCCAGTAACTCTAGGATGAGGTCTAATTGTGAATCTGCATCAGAACCCTTGAACAATATTTTCCGACCCAGTAGCTCCCCCACGATACAACCAATAGCCCACATATCAATAGCTGGTCCATACTGCTGACACCCTGCCAGGAGTTCAGGTGCCCTGTAATACTGGGTCACCACCTCCAGGGTCATCGGGGTCCGTGGGTTGACCTCTACTGCTCGTGCAAACCCAAAGTCACAAATACGAAGGAGACAGGTGCTATTGACGAGAAGGTTCCCTGGCTTAAGGTCCCTGTGAATGATACCAGCGGAATGAAGGTACTTGACACCTAAAAGGAAGAGATACAGTTCAATAGCAAGAATGTTAGGGTGAGTGAGGAATGTAAACCATTAGCCATATTTGATAAGAGAGTTCATGTACCTCTCAACAGTTGATATAAGAATAGCTTAATGTGATCTTCAGTCAATGGCTGAGGTGAGATTATGATGTGATGTAGGTCAGTCTCCATTAGATCAGTTAATACATAACTACAATACACAATATAATCAATATCATAATCATATTGGTACCATTAGTAGTATAATAACAATAACACATTAAATGTAGAGACACATAGACCAGCAGCTGCTATGTACAGACCAACTGCTAGTCATCAGGTAATTTGTTAACTAGTTCATTACACAAGAAATTGAGACACACAATATTGCATCACCACCATTAGTACAGGAAATTAAATAAAATGTATTTATATTTAAAGGTAAATAAAGACACATGACTATGCTACTTACATGTCACTGAATTCTTCCATATTGTCTGGTTTAATGAAATCAATGGCTGATAATATCTGAACAGAGGAGGGGGAGGAGGAGAAATGATAAATACCATGCATACCATAAATAATTAGAAAAGGAGAAAGTGTTTGTTACTATTAATAGCAACAGTCTATATTTAGAACACAATGGAGGATCCCATTAACAAGTTAAGTGTCAATGGCGCTTACATTGTCATGTTTCAGTTCACAGAGCATCTTTATCTCTCTAAAGGTACGTACACAGGACAAGAGGGACTGGAACACTCGCGGTATCCTCTTTAAAGCTGACAGACCACCAGTCCTTGGGTTCTTGACAGACCTGAGAGGGAGGGTGAACACTGTTCGACATGATGGCATTGAATCTTACCAGACAACACCAAAGGATCCGTAACCAATGGGGTGACTCAATTCAACGGCAAGTGTACAATTAAAAGGTAACGAGGACATACAAGGAGAAGGAGAAGGAGAGAAAGGAAGAGGAGGAGGAGAGGGGGAGGGAGGACGAAAGGACGGCCAACCAAGAAGAGCTGAACATGAGTTGAAGCTGTGAGCTGGTGGCTGATGAATAGTCACCATAACTGTGTCCTTTCAAAAGGAGGAGGAGGGAATAAGTTAATAGTTGAGTGTATCTGAACGAAATATAAGAAAGGAGAGTAACTGGGGCATCACTGCGCCATATTGATCCACTCCAAACTTCTTTCCTTCAAAATAACTAAAGAACAGTTCCCAGCAGTAGAGAATAAAGAGAAAGAGAAAGAGGGGGAGGAGAGAGACACACAGAGAGAGGTAGAGCAGGTAAGGCTTAGAGAGATGGTCTCCCAAGCCAGTCTCTCTTCAATGGACTGTCAGCCTTTGCTGCTGAGTCTACCACCACGCCTTATCACTGGTTGCTATGGAGTCACGTGATCTCAAGATAATCCCTACGCTACTGTCATGACAGGGCGGGCTCAGACCTATTGAGCATGCTCAGTAGATAACCCCGGGAAGTGTTGGCCACACCCCTAGTTATTAGAGACAAAATGTCCTCCAGTAGTGCTTCTGGTGGAGATAATTCAAACTGGTCTAGCGTCAGTGAAGAGAGTCTCCTCCTTCATGAGGACTTACTGCAACTAGTGGATCACATTCCTTTACCGGATCAGCTTGAAACCAGTCAAACTGGTTTTACAGGACTGCCCACACTAGATGGGAAGACCCCAGCTGAGCTGTCCCTCATTATTCAGAGGGAGTGTGGCTGTCAAACTGTCACCTTTATATCTCTACTCAATTACAGACACAATGCTCTACGTAAGATATGGAATTACTTACGGTCTAAAGAGAAGAGCTCTTCAGGGGGTGGGGCCAACACTACTAGTTTAAAACCAGCTGCTAAAGGAGGGGAAGGGTTTGCCTCAAGAATTAGTCTTGTACTGATATTTCCCATCCTTCATTCTCTCAGTAAAATTGATTCTGAACTCTCTGGGGAGACTACAAGAATACTGTTGCAATCCTTGAGCAGCTGTGACCCAGCGTCCCTCAGTAAGGAACCCCTTGATTGTATCCTTGGTCTTGAGAACCTCCTCTCCTCCTGGCTCACTGCCGCTAGAGAGAAAAGAACCGAAGGAACCGAACAGATAAGAACTGCTGCATCAGCACTCGTCGCTTTAGCAGTAGCTGTGTAAGTAAAGAGTTAAATATTATTATTGTTGTTGTTGTTATTATTATTATTATTAATTGTAGAGGTACAGGTGGATTATTATTACGTACAGTCCATACTCTCCAGTTGCTGGTCTCCAGCCACCCGGGGATTTCCCTCTCACTGTCTGTCGTCTTACGGAAACTATTCAAGGAACACGATAACTTTGAAGAACCACCTGTAGTACTAGCAGACTCTCATACCCATACCAGCTGGGAGTATCAGTATCAGGACGAGACTAATGAGAATGGGGAGGATGAAAGTAATGAATATTGATTAGTGGGTGTGGCTATATTATTATTAATTGGTGGGTGTGTCTCTTTGTGTAGCTCATCCTCGGTCGATAGTCTATGATGGAAGGTATGTACTTGTTAGTTCGGTTGGAGGAAAGAAATTATTAAAAGTTGGAAGTGGCTACTCTGGTAGCATAAGGTGAAACAGATGAATGAAGTACATTAGTTATTGTCATTCCAGAGGTTACCTATATCAGAGTGTTTCTATTGATCCCGGTTGGCTAGTTCAATGTAATGGAGTATTGCTCTATCGGAAGAAATCCTTTGATGAAAGTAGCTCCACCCACCTCTGTGTGAGACTGAGTGAAGATCTGCACGTAAGTATCCAGTATTGTTTATTTAACCCTTTGCTCCTGTACACAAGTCAACACATGTAAACATGAATACTTTCATGACACAGTTAAAATAAACAACCCTAATGAGTTACCTTGTGTCGCTATTAGGAGTCCGGTATAGTGTCTCATTCCCTCTCATTAGAAGAAGGCTACAGTACAGTCGGGTTCATGTCTGATGGCCACAAGTTATACTGGATCTATGCACTTAAGAATGAATCTAATAGCACGACAGGGACCGCTGGGGATAAGTATAACGTCTACTTACAAATATTGGATATTAATGTTAGTTATTAATAGTTATTAGTACATGGTAGTTATTCAAGGGATTTCTTTCCTTTCCACAGGTAGATATTAATGACAGCATGGAGCTATTGCCATCTTGTGAGAGGATTTTATTAAAGAAATCTAAAGAAGAGAAGAACAGAATGAGACTGACCGGCTCATCATATTTCAGTGGCGGATCAGGAGGAAGAACTAAAGATGATACTGGTAGCTCCTCCTCCTCCTCCTATACTGTGTATATGTACATTGTAATGTGTTATTGTACCATTAGTGGTTAGTGATCAAAATCCCCTTGCATTATAATAATTGTGAATCAGCTAAACATGTATTGCCACATTCCCTCCTTGATATAGAGACGTCATGTGGTCTGAGTATGAAACAGTTAGTGAAGTCCAGTGGATACTGCACAGGGTCCAGTTTAGTTCTGATATTAGCCAGCCCCCCTAGCAGCAGTGGGGGCAGTAGATCTTTGTTTGGATCTACGAGCACTAATAATAATAAAGGTACCATACATTAATTAATAATAATGATAATTGATTATTTAATAGCGTTGTGTACAAGTTATGGCTACAGTATATCATCAGGGTATCTTGTGTCTCAGTTTGATTTGACTCAGTCCCCTTCTCTTACCTGCGGGTTAACCAGAGGAACAACCACAGGATCAATGGGTACATGATCCAATGATCTTTATTAACATTAACCCACTCCATTGGTCCAGGTGCTAGTTACGACAGGTTCAATCATTGCGTGTGGTCAGTCGCTGGGGATTGGGTCGACCTGTGGGCGTGTACTGGTCAGGTACGACCATCCGCCCACTCACTGGCTGCTAGAATGGGACTGACACCAAGCCACCTTCAACTACTGGAGGATAAAGAGAACGATGACATCATCGTTGAGGTAGCGTACATGTACATGTATATTCATTCTGACCCCTCCCACTTCCTTAAAAGGATGTCATCACGCTGTTATTGCGTCACAGTGGAATGGAGTCGTGCCGGTTGACCAGAGGGAAGGACATTGGTCAACCAATTGCCCACAACCTGTCGCTGTCATTCCTGAAACACACCGTCACTATATTGAAATACACTGTGGACATGGATCAGCTGGATAATGCTCTCAGTTGTGTCATTACACTCCAGGTGGGTGTGGTTTAGGGTGTGGCTTGTTTTATATCTTGTTCTTAGGCTGTTCTTCCTAATTTTTTGAAATCTGATATTTATGAATCAAAAGAAAATGATAAATTGTTTGATACAATCAGGTACATTGTTGTTGTTTGTTGTTTATTGTTTGTTTGTTGTTTATTGTTTGTTTGTTGTTGACAGGTCTTGTTGTTGGGATTTGTTACATAAGGAGAGTTGTTCATCAGTTTTAGTTAATGAGATATGCCAGTTGATAAGGTAATTATTAATTACTGGTGTTCATGTACTTATTCTGCCCCTCCCCCTCCCTCCCCAGTTCCAATATTCTCCGGTTGTATCTACAGGAGGAACACCAGTCCCAGCTGCTGCTATCGGCTCTAGCTTCCTCTTCCTCTAAGATGATTCACCTTAGGAACTCTGTATTTATTGAATTATCTAAAGAACTCCGCCCCTTGTCCTCCGTCCCTCCCTCCTTACTCTCACTCACTGGTCTGCTTGCTGGTCTACTTCACGAGGAACTGAACCTGGGAATGAACCTCCTGAAAGAGGGTGGAGCTAAGGTTGCCATGACAACACAACCGGTTAGTACTTTATGATTTAATTATCAATTATTATTCATTATCATCATTATTATTATTATCATTAGGTATTTAGTCCAGCAGTTCAGTGTGCCAGCTCTATACTGTACTCTATTCTGAGGTCAATGGATAAAGCAGCAGCTGCTGCTGATACTGACGGAAATAAAGAAGAGGAACTAGAGGTAGTGTATAGTAATGGTCTGTTGGTGGACATATCTTTATTTTATACTCCAGGACTCCAGGAGATTATTGATAAAGTTTATTGAGGAAATACAATTGTTTGAAATCTGTGGAAGAGTATGTCTACAATGATTGGTGATGATTAATCCTACTGTCTATTAGTTTTTAGACGGTCTCCATTCAGTGATATCAACCATTAGTGCTCCAGCGTCCTCTACTGATGAGAGTCCCTCCAGGTCCCTGCTGGTGTCAGCCCTTGAGAAGGTTTCCAAAGGAAGTGTACTGGGAGCCTTCCTTCCGCCTCTGTTGGCTGTCATCAGTGACCACACCTACTCATCGTTGCCATTAGCAACCAGACTGTTACCATGTGTTACGGAACTTGGTAGGAAAACTGCTGAGGTAAGCATACATGTACATGTATAGCTGCTTTTAAAATGGAGGCACTTTAAACTGATGATACTGACAGTAGTAATGTTGTTATCAGCCGAGTGTACCTCCAAATAATGATAATAATTGATTATTATATCAATTGGTATAAGTGCTGAGGTGTTGAGATTGAGATGTATCTCATGCCAGCGATAGCTTATATACATTCCATTCCTATACTGCAGTAATCTCATTCCTATACTCTCATTCTGATTCCTAGTGTTGCAGTATGTTATATTCAGATATGAAGGGACCCGTTACTATACCCACCCCGTGGTCCAGTGGGAGACTCATAGAGACAGTTCATCCAGTGAGGGATAATTATAAGTTCAAGGAGACAGTCTCTTTCCCTCGAGCTAAACACCTTTATCTCAAGTTTGATCCTCGCTCCTCATCACAATATGATTATGATAAAGTATAAACACGTGTTGTTGTTGTTAATATTGTTGTTATTGTTTATATTGTTGTTGTTGTTGTTATTGTTTATATTGTTGTTGTTGTTGTTGTTAGGTACAAGTATTTGCTGGTAGTTCCCCTTCTTGTCCTAAAGTGGTTGAGTATGGAGGGAACACTCACGGGTTTGGGAGCAGGAGCGTCCTGGGGAAAGGATGGCCCAAAGATATTGTAAAGGTACCGGACTGGTTCCCATTATTTCATTCCCTTTATTCCATTCTCATCCCATTCTTATATATTTTATTCTTAGTATGTATTCCATCCCCATTATTCCGTTTTTATATATTCCATTCCTATTATTCCATTCCCATTATTTCATTCTCATTCTCATATATTTCATTCTTAGTATGTATTCCATTCCCATTATTCCATTCCCATTATTCCATTCTTATACATATTCCATTCCCATTATTTCATTCTCATTATCCCATTCTCATGTATTCCATTCCCATTATTCCATTCCTGTCAGGTTGATGGTGATACTGTCACTATTACGTTTGAGATGAAGAGTGGGCGTGAGCACTCAACTCCTGATAAAGCAATGTGGGGTTTCTCTTGTATTGTTCGTCCTCAGGAAACTGCCGAAGAATCCTCAGGGGGACTTCCCTTCCTCATTGATATCTACCTCTCACTCTCTTCTATTAGCTGCTCTCTCATTGGTCAGTTGTTTGTTGGAGCCCCGCCCACTTCTGATGAGATCAAGTGTGGATCTTTAATGGAGTCATTATTACTACAAAGGTACATGTACATGTATAATTAATTAATTTATTTATTTATTTATTTATTTATTTATTTATTTATTTATTTATTAGATGTGTTTGGCCTGATACTGAAGTTGTAGAGGGCGGGTTCAGACACACCCCCACTGACCCATCACTCATTGTTAAACTAAGAGAATCTATTAATAAACCCAGACCAGTACTGAGACCAAGGATCAGGTGAGATATGGGGAGGGAGAGAGAGGGAGGGAGAGAGGGAGGGGGAGAAGGTTTTACATATAATGTTGTTCTGTTCCATGCAGTGACATTCTGCAAGTTGAACTGATGGAGGATCTGATTCTGAACACTTGTCTCAAACACAATGAGAATAAATCAATATTTAAATTCATGAGCTCAAAAATAAGTGAAACTGATAAAATATTGTTAGACGATATCTTTACACGCATCAACGGACTCGAGAGACGACTCCAGGTGAGTGGGTGGGACTTGTAGTAGGTGTGGTCAATTACGTGATGTTCAGGCATTAGCGGAGTTAGAGTCTCATTGGTGCTCAGATGTTGATGATATTATTAATAATGAGAAGGACATGAAAACAGCTTTCTTCTTTGATCTACAGCAGCAAGAGGTAACCATACTGTACCATACTATATAATACATCGTCTCTTTATTGTCCTACAGTCGACTGTGAAACAGTTTGAACTGTTATGCTGTCTCTATTCTGTGGATATTGTTGATCCTTTTGGAGCTGCTACTCAACTACAGTTAGTTTGTTGTTGTTTATTTGTTGTTTATTTGTTGTTTTTAGAGAATTAATGGAGAAAGATGTATTACGTAGGAAAGATAAGAAAGATGTTGAAACAGATATTCATTCAAAAGTTATTATTATTATTATTAATTGATTAATTAATTATATTCCTATTATTAGACGAGAAGTCTTGTGCAAGGTATACTAGATCGTTCTCGGTTGTTGCTTCAAGTTAACATTTCACAGGAAGAGGAGGGGGAGGGGCACTCATCAGGTAATTAATTGACATTAGCCACACCCAGTAATTAATAATGGCCACACCCTTTCTTGTAGGTGTGTCTCGTTCAGTATCAGTTCCTGCAAGTCACTTAGTGACATCACCAACTGTAATTAGGTAATAATAATAATAATAATAATAATTATTATTTATTTTCTTTCAGTCGTCAATCAAGTGATGGTAGTTCATTATTATTTGATAACTTCACATCCATTAATAATAATAATAATAATGAGGAGATATTTAGATTTATTGGTCATAAACCAGAAGAAGCAGTAAGGCCTATTATTAATAATTAATGGCTTCACTGTATTTCAACAGGTCTCATGTGACAGTTTCCTTCTTGCTGCCAGCCATCAGCGTAAAAGAGCTGCTGACAGGATCTCTTCTCTATCGTCCCTACACTCTCTCCTCACTGGACCCCAGCTACCGTCAACCATCACTCACCTACTCTCAATGGTTGGTGACATCATTAAGAATGGTCCTCTAGTACAGGATATCCTCTGCAGTGGGTTGTGTAATGAAGTCCGTTCCAAGTTCTCTGATGTCATATTACTCATAGTTCAGGAGACTCTCTCTCATCCAGCTGCCTTTATAAACACAATATCAACATTATCAATAATTCCTTACACCCGAGAGGACGAGGGACTCTTAGTTAGGACTGGTCTCCTCAAGGTCCTTAATGAGCTTTGTAATATGGACACACCCCCAGTGGGTGTGGCTGAGTCCGAAGGTGATGAGGAGATGCTCCAGAGAGTGACGGCACTAGCTTGGGCAGCTTTCAAGGTACTTGCTGATCGTTGTATCTCGTGGGAGGAGTTGGGAAATGGGCGGAGCCTTGGGTTTATATCGTCAGGTCTTGCACAACAAATCTCTTCACTTCTGACCAATCACTTTTCAAGGGCAATGGAAACACTGAAAAACTCAGAATCAGGTAGTTAATAATTTATTGATGGGTGGGGCTAATGCTTAGTTAATTATACGATATGTATTTTATTATTACTATTCTAATTAAAGGTACTTCAGAGACGTTGCAGGAAGCCCTATCAATGCTGTTGGGTCTAGCCAGCAGTCACATGGGACGAGCTATACTTAGCCAGCCAGCCTGCGTCTCTAAACTCCTCCTCCTGGTGACGGACCAAAGGCCCTCCCCTAAACTAGTACTGATAGCCTTGCAGCTCTGCCGTATAGCACTACCTTTAATGACTGTGGCTGAATGCTCTCAAGTTATCATACCATCTCACCCGGCACTCAGCAATGCTAGCCACTCCCCTAATGGCCACGCCTCCATTATAATTAAACTATTAATGGTGAAACTAGGTGAGTATCTGATACCTACCCATTCACCGGGCGGAGCCTTACAGACTGACTCCGCCCACCAAGAGAGAGAGGGAGGAGACAATGACCCAATACCGTTAATGGCTCCCTCTCAACAAGATGAGATTGATGAAGCAGGCCAAGCTTCAGTCTACCTCTACAGGCGCTCTGATGAAACTGCAGCTGAAGTCCTTCAACTCTTACTGAACCAAGACCCAAGACAGCTGGCCCACAGGATGGAGACTATATTGAGACTGGATCAGGCCCTTACTGACAATAATAAAGCTGAAATACTCACTGATAATTACAAGTCTTGTTTCCGTAAGGCTGTCCGCTGGGCCAGTATGGGATTCACTGTTAGTATAGAACCAACAACTAACGGAACCAATCATGAACCTTCTGGTACTGAAGCAGATCGGAAGAGGTCTAAGGCCGAAACCACTTGCAAGAAAAAGAACATGGAATTACTAAAGAGTGACCCACCACGTCCCTTCTTAAGTGGCACAGTATCCTATTCACTGGCCTCAGAGATCATTGGATTATTAAATGGCCTCCTGGTCGGTGAGGATGCTGTCCAGGTGTGGAGGAATGCCATAGAAGATGTATTGAGGGAAGCTCTGAGGTCAGTCCCATTGAGTCTCCCCCAGCTGGAGGACTACTGCTCTCTAGTTCATGATTGTGTTAATAAATGTGAGACTCCTCCCAGTCCACAGCCCCACCTCCCTTCTGCTAGTATTGCTAATGCTTGTTTTGCTGCTCTTGGAGGGTTCAAGGATCCACTGAGGGTTGGGTCTCTCGTCAAGGTACTAGGAGAAGGAATTGCTGACTCAACAGGATCTGTGGCTAGCATATCTGAGCAGAGGGGCGTGGCTAATGTTATATTGAATGATAGACATTGTTTTGGAGTCAATAGAACTCTGGAAGTCCCTTTAACGAGACTGGTCCCCCCTGAGGTCAGTAGCCTACCTATCAAACAGCTGGGGGTGTCCAGTGACCTCTGTCTTGCCATTAACAGTGTCCTCTCAACATCACCAGTGACCATAGACTCTCCCCACAGCGGAATGAACCCTGGTACAATGGGCCTGGGATTAGTTCGACTCTACTCTGAGCTGAGGGCAAGAGCTTGCCTGTGTTTAGCTGCTCAATGTAGGGAGAGTGATGAGTTTAAGAAATTATTTATAAGTAATAATAATGATGATAATCTGTCACAATTGAGGAGACATGTAGAAACTATTAAACCAGGTATGACATCATAATTATATTTATTACATACTTTATTACATTTTCTGATACATATTGATGTCCTTATGCTGTGTAGAAAGTTTGAGCTGATTCCGACTTCAATTTTTCAAGTTACGACCATTTTAAGAAAAAGTCAAAAATCTGAAAAATACCCAAGGCTATAGTCCATGGTGTTTTCCAAAAAATGGCTCCGAAATCAACCCAAATTTTTATTGGATTTTCTGATACATATTGGTGCCCTTATACTGTGTAGCAAGTTTGAGCTGATTCCGACCTCAATTTTTCAAGTTACGGCCATTTTAAGAAAACGTCAAAAATCTGAAAAATACCCAAGGCTATAGTCCATGGTGTTTTCCAAAAAATGGCTCCGAAATCAACCCAAATTTTTATTGGATTTTCTGATACATATTGGTGCCCTTATACTGTGTAGCAAGTTTGAGCTGATTCCGACCTCAATTTTTCAAGTTACGGCCATTTTAAGAAAACGTCAAAAATCTGAAAAATATCCAAGACTATAGTCCATGGTTTTTTCCAAAAAATGGCTCCGAAATCAACCCAAATTTTTATTGGATTTTCTGATACATATTGATGCCCTTATGCTGTGTAGAAAGTTTGAGCTGATTCCGACCTCAATTTTTCAAGTTACGGCCATTTTAAGAAAACGTCAAAAATCTGAAAAATACCCAAGACTATATATAGTCCATGGTTTTTTGCAAAAAATGGCTTCGAAATCACCCCAAATTTTTATTGGATTTTCTGATACATATTGGTGCCCTTATACTGTGTAGCAAGTTTGAGCTGATTCCGACCTCAATTTTTCAAGTTACGGCCATTTTAAGAAAACGTCAAAAATCTGAAAAATATCCAAGACTATAGTCCATGGTTTTTTCCAAAAAATGGCTCCGAAATCAACCCAAATTTTTATTGGATTTTCTGATACATATTGGTGCCCTTATACTGTGTAGCAAGTTTGAGCTGATTCCGACCTCAATTTTTCAAGTTACTGCCATTTTAAGAAAACATCAAAAATCTGAAAATTACCCAAGGCTATAGTCCATGGTTTTTTCCAAAAAATGGCTCCGAAATCAACCCAAATTTTTATTGGATTTTCTGATACATATTGATGTCCTTATGCTGTGTAGAAAGTTTGAGCTGATTCCGACTTCAATTTTTCAAGTTACGACCATTTTAAGAAAAAGTCAAAAATCTGAAAAATACCCAAGGCTATAGTCCATGGTGTTTTCCAAAAAATGGCTCCGAAATCAACCCAAATTTTTATTGGATTTTCTGATACATATTGGTGCCCTTATACTGTGTAGCAAGTTTGAGCTGATTCCGACCTCAATTTTTCAAGTTACGGCCATTTTAAGAAAACGTCAAAAATCTGAAAAATATCCAAGACTATAGTCCATGGTTTTTTCCAAAAAATGGCTCCGAAATCAACCCAAATTTTTATTGGATTTTCTGATACATATTGATGCCCTTATGCTGTGTAGAAAGTTTGAGCTGATTCCGACCTCAATTTTTCAAGTTACGGCCATTTTAAGAAAACGTCAAAAATCTGAAAAATACCCAAGACTATATATAGTCCATAGTTTTTTCCAAAAAATGGCTCCAAAATCAACCCAAATTTTTATTGGATTTTCTGATACATATTGATGCCCTTATGCTGTGTAGAAAGTTTGAGCTGATTCCGACTTCAATTTTTCAAGTTACTGCCATTTTAAGAAAACATCAAAAATCTGAAAATTACCCAAGGCTATAGTCCATGGTTTTTTCCAAAAAATGGCTCCAAAATCAACCCAAATTTTTATTGGATTTTCTGATAAATATTGATGCCCTTATGGTATCATTAGGCCAGAGACTGTCAGTAGTTGAGTCTCAGTGTTTGAGTCTCAGAATGTTGTACAGAGACTGTTCTCGTCCTCCTCCTCCGAAGATTGAGAGACCAAGAATTGAAGTATTTTAGATTATGTGCGTGTACTGTATGAAACCTTCTCTCCTAGCGTAAAAGGTTCTTCCTTGATATAACAAGACAATGGCCTCCAGTCACTCATTCTAGCTTCTCTCATAATCTCACGTGGCTTGTGTATCAAGGGCCCACCACTTCAGGTGGGGGCGGGGCTGATGCTGATAGACAGGACAAACCAAAGGGAGTGTTCATTGTCACTAACAATCCGATACCTAATCACGTGAGACCAATTACCATCATATACTGTACATCATGTACAGCTCTATTGTACCATACCATAGGCTCCTTCCTTTTACTATGAGGTTGAAGTGGTTCAGTTGGACTCAGGAACTTCCTCTCCTCATTTGTCCTTTGGGCTCTGTCCTTCTCCTGAGAAACCCTCCGATAATGAAGGGGCGTGGTCTTACCCACAGGAGACCTGCCTCTTTAGAAAGTAATTAATAAATTTTAATAATAATATTATTTTTTTAGTTCTGGGCGTGGCTTTCAAGTCCGTGGTGTTGATCGAATGCAGTGGCCAAAGATCAGTACAGAGTACCTCGTTAAGAATGGAGATATTGTTGGGTGTGGCTGGATTAAAGAGGACACACCCCCTGCTAGAGGTGTTGTCTATTTTACTGTCAATGGAAACAAGTTAGAGCAATCCTTTAAAGACTGTCCTTCAGGACTCTACCCTTTTGTACATGTGCAGAAAAAGGTTTGTTCAATTCTAGTTATAGCAATACTGCATGTCCAGCATGTACAGTATTATTGGTCTCTCTCTGTACAGGGAACTAGATTAAAGTTGAATTTTGGTGAGTATTCATTTTCATATGCTGAAGGACAGGATCACAGAGATGCAGCTGATATTGATAAAGGAGAATCACTTGAAGAGATTGTAGCATTATTCAAACTCCTCCCATTCCATCCCATTGACGAGGAGGAGGAGCTTGAGGGTGTGGCTCGTGATAATGTTGATAATGAAGTACCTAATGATGAAACTGATTCTGTGAAACATACTCCACTGATACTGGTACCAAACACTGTGGTACTGGAACCAGTTACGAACGAAGGTAAGCTGTGATGTCATATGACGTCATCTTTGATATCATGGGACTTTGGTGTGATCTATTTTTAGTGTACGACTCTAAGTCGAGTCAAGGTTTCATTCCTCGTTTGAGTTTTGATAATATACTGGAGGGGGGCCCCCTCATCAGGCCAGGGGGTGTGGCCAATCAAGAGGAGGAGGAGCTTGAAGAAGGCGGGGCTGTAGAAGGTGTGGCTGGAGATGAGGACTTGCATTTATTACTAGTGAAGGCCTGGGAGGCTAAAGTGTTTCCACTGATCCAGCGAAGGTTCAGGAACGACCAGGAGAGGAAGTCTGGACTAGATCAAATTAGAGGAGCTTTGCAACTAGGTACCGGAGCTAATGGGACAATCCTTACCTAAGATATACGATCATTATTATTATTATTATTATTATTATTATTATTATTATTATTATTATTATTATTATTATCATTATTGTTATTATTATTATTATTATTATTATTAATTGTACATTATTTTGTAGGAATGGAGAGTATAGCTCAGGAAACTGTTGAGTTTCTTTATGAAGAAAATGGAGGACTACCTCGTGATCTTCACCTGCCGTCAATGGATGATGTGAAAGCTGATTTAGAGAAATTCACCATCAACAGAATCAAGAAGGGATCAGCAGTGGTGATACAGAAAGAGGTGCCTTACACTCGCTGTGGAGTGAGAGCAATGCAGAAAACACAAGGACTCACAGGTGGGTGTGGTTACTGTATAATGGGTGTGGCTACTAGGGCATGGTCTGTTGATAGGTGTGGTCCTATCAGTTGACAGTCTCAATGAGTTAGTTCAAGTTGAGTGCTACGTGCCCAGTGATGGAGCATTGGTTCGGTTCTGGTACCCTGTCATATACCTTGAGAAACCTCCTAAAGGTTATAGGAAACCCTCGGCTTTAAGAGGAGCTGATAGCGTCAGTATACTGGTACACAGGTTAGTACTGCCATACATATCTGAGCATTGTGTCTTCCTGTCTCTAGGGAACTACTGAATAATGAAGGGACTTTGGCTGGACTATACTGCAGATCAGCACTGCTCTCACTACAGTCAGTGTCACAGTCTCTCTCCTTTCCTTTGTACATCAGTTTATATTCTCAAGAGAATTACTCACAGCCATCAGTAGAGGGGCTCTCTGTCTCCTCCTCTCCTTCCCTCTCTCCCTCTCTCTCTCACTCCTTGCTCTCCTCTCATCAGCCTCAGTTTTATTCTGACCCTGCCCTGGTGGAGAGGGAACTGTTGTCATGGTTACGGGATCATTCAGTTGATGTCCAGCCACTATTGGTGAGGCTAAGTGAAGGAGTGTCTGGATCCTCTGGGGGCAATGGGAGGGCAGAGTTCCTGGTACCGGAGGGACGGGAGACTACTGATGTATATTGTCCTGGGGCCGCATTTTTAATAGTGTCATCCAGTCATGTTAAACCAGGCAATAAAATAAAGTAATTATTATTTTATTAATTTATTAATTTGTTTATTGTGCCCTAATAGTTCTAATTATAAGTACCCTTGGTGTAAGGTATTCACGTACAGAAGTGGTCAGGGACGTGGTGGTAGACTCCTCCCACAGGAGGTGTCCCGATATCCCAACGAGATACCCCAACAGACAGTGAACCAGCAATACTCTGGTCCTCTCTACCCTACTCTAGTGGTGCCATCAGACCGACTTCATATCAAACTCATAGGCTCCACCCCTCACCCAGGTCAAAAGATACTAGTCCACAGTGTACCCACTGCTGTCCCTCTCCTCCTCTCTCTCTCTCACTCTCTCTCTCTTCATTTTGACTCCTCCAATAAGAATGACCCCCGATATTTGTCATCTTGTGTACAACCACTGGTGAAGCTACTCGCTAAATCTGATTGGCCGCTTGTGATGCGTGGGCGGATTAACCACACCCTCTCCAACGTACTGTGGACACTATCTGACTCTGTGACAGACCATACCCACTTACCGCTGTTGCCTAGCGACCTGTTACCATCGTTACTCCAAGAGGTTGAACAATGGTACACTGAAGAATGTGACTCATTTACCAATGGCAGCAGCAGCACCAGTAATGGTAATGGTGGCACTGGTTCTAGTGATGATGGTAAATCTAAAGGAGCTCCCTTCCCTCCCTCTGGGTCCATTGCTAGTGGCAGGTCGGGTCGGTTCAGCTGCTACTTACAATCAATCCTTGAGCTAGTCCTGGCCCTCAGGCAGTACAATGGAGGACTAGTTCAAACCACACCCACTAATGGAGCCTCAAAGTCTGGCAGTAAAAAGTTTAAGAAGTTTCATTGGATTGACTACGTATCAAGAGCAGTTGACGTCCTGTTTGCTTTGAGAGGAAAAAAGGAACTCAATCCTGATTTTTATAAATGTTTTTACAAGTCGCTGCCGTCAAAATGTCACACCTCTCTTCTGGTGTTGACCGGAATAAACTCCGCCCTCCAGGGTGAGGTTGCCATGGAAACAATAAGGAGGGTGTGCAGTGGTTATGGTGGACTGGTTGATCTTTACCTTCCGCTGAGAGACATGAGCAGAGAAGAGAGAGAAGAGGAACAGCGAATTAAACTGGAGGAACTAGCTAAAGAATCAACTAACCAACAGGCCACACCTGTAACCACACCTACCTCATCTGACGAAGCTGTATCTGACACTGCTGAGCGACCAGAACCTGCCGAAAAAAAGAACTCGTTACAAGGGGAGCGGCCTAAGCTGTTAGCTTCACCCGCTTCATTAGAACCACCCAAACAGGTCCCAGTGGGCGGGGCTGTATTGAGGATAGGGTGTGGTCATAAATCATCAGGACTATGTACTAGTTTATTGTCATGCCTAGCGCTGCAAGGTAACAAGAAGAGACTCTCAGTTTATTGTGTGTCTGAGGGTTTTCAATGCGGAGAAGAAGAGTCTGCCAATGAAATATTGAGGAAGTACCTGAGGAACAAGCTATACAATGGAGATGGAGTCTCATTTACCAGTGACCTCTCCTCTTGTCTCTCTGTTGTATTCAACTCTCTTGGCCCTCAAGTACTCCAGACTTCATTGACTGGAAATGGAGCGACCGAGTCACTGTTACGGTTATTCATAGTTGGGTGTGGTTCTGGCCACACCCTCAAGGAGGCAGTGGCTCAGTTGTGGGAGAGTAAGAGTAAAGACTCGTCCATCAGTGAGGCCGACCTCGTCCAGTGGACCGAGAGACAAGAACCAGTCCATATATGGAAGGGACTGACAGCTGCTGGTTATGACCTGGACTTTAACAGGTCAGGGGAGTGTAGTAATATAATTATAATAATCACTTAGTTAATATTTATTAATAGTTATTGATTATATTTTGTAGGTGTGGTTTTCTACCCTTAGAAGGTGTGTCCTCTTGTCCCCCTGACTCCGCCCTTGACTCCGCCCTAGCGTTACACGTTGATTCAAAGTGTCGTTCGTTGGATATCATCTCTTCTTTGTTGTTGCCAAGTGAACTCCATGTATCGGATGCTGAACTAACAGCTGGTCATCTTGTACCTTTACAAAGTAAGCAGCTGGTGCACTTTAATTAGAATGTATTGTGCTTTAATTAGAATTATCAATAAACGAGATTAGGATGAGATTCATTGCTTTAAAGAACATCAACCGACAGTTGTCATGGTTACTGCCTCTAGTAAACTTGAACTCCACCCACCCCTCATCCCTGGGGTGTCTCCTAACCAGAGCAGCAAGTTACATGTTTTATGATGTAAAGAACACGTTCCTCCATTGTGTACTGAACGCTGCTACCAGAAGGACACTGGATCAGGCACCACCTGAAATAAAGATGGACCCTCTTGAGAGCGTTGGAGGTGCACTCTATTGATTCGTTTATTTATTTATTTATTTGCTTAAAGGTTTGCCGTCCACTTTATTGAAGACCCAGTTCTGTCAAGCAGCCAATCAAATGTTGTCAGTACCTTCCTCTCAACTGTGTGTACCTCTAGCCAGTGGAGGTGATCCAACTTACGCATTCAACGTAAAACTATCAGGAGAAGAAGTGCACGGGACAAGTTAGTTTATTGGATATAATAAGTACTTTAGTAATACATTTTAACTACATTTTCTGATACATATTGATGCCCTTATGCTGCATAGAAAGTTTGAGCTGATTCCAACTTCAATTTTTCAAGTTACGGCCATTTTAAGAAAACGTCAAAAATCTGAAAAATACCCAAGACTATAGTCCATGGTTTTTCCCAAAAAATGGCTCCAAAATCACCCCAAATTTTTATTACATTTTCTGATGCATATTGATGCCCTTATGCTGCATAGAAAGTTTGAGCTGATTCCAACTTCAATTTTTCAAGTTACGGCCATTTTAAGAAAACGTCAAAAATCTGAGAAATACCCAAGACTATAGTCCATGGTTTTTCCCAAAAAATGGCTCCAAAATCACCCCAAATTTTTATTACATTTTCTGATACATATTGATGTCCTTATGCTGTGTAGCAAGTTTGAGGTGATTCCGACTTCAATTTTTCAAGTTACGGCCATTTTAAGAAAACGTCAAAAATCTGAAAAATACCCAAGGCTATAGTCCATGGTTTTTTCCAAAAAATGGCTCCGAAATTAACTCAAAGTATTATTACAATTTCTGATACATATTGATGCCCTTATACTGTGTAGAAAGTTTGAGGTGAATCCGGCATCAATTTTTTTAAGTTACAGCCATTTTTAAAAAACGTCAAAAATCTGAAAAATACTCAAGGCTATAGTCCATGGTTTTTTCCAAAAAATGGCTCCGAAATCACCCCAAATTTTTATTACATTTTCTGATACATATTAATGTACTTATGCTGTGCAGAAAGTTTGAGCTGATTCCGACTTCAATTTTTCAAGTTACGGCCATTTTTAAAAAACGTCAAAAATCTGAAAAATACCCAAGGCTATAGTCCATGGTTTTCTCCAAAAAATGGCTCCGAAATCACCCCAAATTTTTATTAAATTTTTATGATACATATTGATGTCCTTATGCTGTGTAGCAAGTTTGAGGTGATTCCGACTTCAATTTTTTAAGTTACGGCCATTTTTAAAAAATGTAAAAAAAATCTGAAAAATACCCAAGGCTATAGTCCATGGTTTTTCCAAAAAATGGCTCCAAAATCACCCCAAATTTTTATTAAATTTTCTGATACATATTGATGCCTTTATGCTGTATAGAAAGTTTGAGCTAATTCCGACTTCGATTTTTCAAGTTACGGCCATTTTTAAATAATGTAAAAAATCTGAAAAATACCCAAGGCTATAGTCCATGGTTTTTTCCAAAAAATGGCTCCAAAATCATCCCAAATTTTTATTACATTTTATGATACATATTAATGTACTTATGCTGTGCAGAAAGTTTGAGCTGATTCCGACTTCAATTTTTCAAGTTACGGCCATTTTTAAAAAACATCAAAAATCTGAAAACTACCCAAGGCTATAGTCCATGGTTTTCTCCAAAAAATGGCTCCGAAATCACCCCAAATTTTTATTACATTTTCTGATACATATTGATGCCCTTATGCTGTATAGAAAGTTTGAGCTGATTCCGACATCAATTTTTCAAGTTATGGCCATTTAAAAAAAAGTCAAAAATCTGAAAAATACCCAAAGCAGATTTAGATTTTATGATTATCTATATATATTTTATTTCTTTAGGTGGTTCATTCCGCCACTTCCTCTGGCAGGTAGTGAGAGAGTTAGAGTCTCCATTAGTTCCTGTACTGATCCAGTGCCCCAGCAGTGCCAGTGGTATCAATAAAGGAAAGTTTATACTCAGCACAGGAAGTATGAGCTACTCCGAAGAGAAACTCCTTTTCTTTTTTGGACAGGTACAGCTGATCTTGACTTCTGACGGTGTATAGTCCTTTTCTTTAGCTTTTAGGAGTGTCTCTAAGAGCTGATGTACCAGTAGCTCTTGATCTGCTGGTGTGTTTCTGGAAGAGTTTGAAAGAAGAGCCATTGTCACTAGTTGATCTTAAAGAAGCTGATAGTGTCACCTATTCACTTACTCAAGAAATACTTGAAGTAAACCAGTAACAGCTCATTTAATACATGTACTGTCTGTATTTGCAACAGGCTAAGGATGAAACTAGTTTTAATGAAATTATTAGCTCTTTATGTCAAGATACTGATACCCATACTGCAGGAACTGATACTCATGCTGTTGGAACTGATACCACCCATACTACAGGAACTGATACCCATACTGCTAGTCTGACGTTTACTTATCGTAACTTGAGGGGAGATCAGGAACCACTTGAGAAAGATGGGGACCATAAACTAGTGACGTTAGTTTAAGTAATAATACTAATACTAATAATATATCATACTATTCAATAGGTTTGATAACAGAGGTGAATATGTTGATAAAGTAAGGTCCTTTAGGCTCCGTGAGATTGAGTCAGTAGATAGAATGAGGGCAGTGAGGTGTGGTCTGTCATCAGTGGTACCAATGGAGGCTCTCACTGTGTTCACTGCTACTGACCTTGACCTCAGGATATGTGGAATACCTCACGTTGATATAAATTATTTAAAAGTATACAAGAAGATATTACTTACACATAAATTACTATCTTTTTAAAGATGCACACGACTTATCATGTTGGTCTTATGGAATCTGACCGACACATCCAGTACTTCTGGACTGCACTAGAGTCGTTATCACAAGTAATAATGATCAGGTGACTCTCACATGACCTATGCTCCTCTCATTGTAGGAAGAGTTGAGGAAGTTTATTAAGTTTGCATGTAATCA